AAATGTGATCCACCTGGAGAAGGAAATGGCAACCCACTCCAGTATCTTTGCCAAGAAAACCCCATGGACAGTAACAAAAGGCTAAAAGATACGATGCTGAAAGATGAGCCTCTCAGGTCGGAAGGTGTCCAATATGCTACTGGGGAAGAGCAGAGGGCAAGTACAAGTAACCGCAGAAAGAATGAAGTGGCTGGGCCAAAGCTGAAAGGACGCTCAGCTATGGATGTGTCTGATGGTGAAAGGAAAGTCCGATGCTGCAAAGAACAATACTGCATAGGATCCTGGAATGTAAAATCTATGAATCAAGGTAAGTTGAATGTGGCCAAAAACGAGATGACAAGACTGAACCTTAATATCTTAAGAATCAGTGAACTAAAGAGGACGGGAATGGGCAAATGTAACTCAGAAGACCATTATATCTACTACTGTGGCCAAGAATTTTGTAGAAAAAAATGATGTGGCCTTTGTATTCAACGATAGTGAGAAAGGCAATAATGGGATACAATCTCAAAAACAACAGAATGATCTTGGTATGAATCCAAGGCAAACCATTAGACATCACAGTAAGCCAAGTCTATACCCCAACCACTGACACAGAAGAGGCTGAAGTGGACCGGTTCTATGAAGACCTACAACACTTCCTACAATTAACTCCAAAAAAAGATGTCCTTATCATCAAAAGGGACTGGGATGCTAAAGTAGGAAGTCAAAAGGTAAACAGAATAATGGACAAGTTTGCCCTTGGAGAACAAAATGAAGCTGGGCAAAGGCTAACAGAGTTTAGTCAAGAGAACACGCTGATCATAGCGAACACCCTCTTCCAACAACCTAAGAAGCGACTCTACACATGGACATCACCAGATGGGCAACATTGAAATCAGATAGACTGTATCATTTGCAGTCAAAAATGGAGAAACGCTATACAGTCAGTAAAAACATCATTGCAAAATTCAGGCTTAAACTGAAGAAAGTTGGGAAATCCACTAGGCCATTGAGGGTTCATCTAGATCACATCCCTTATGAATATACAGTGGAGGTGAAGAATAGATTTAAGGGACTAGATTTGATAGACATAGCGCCTGAAGAACTATGGATGGAGGGTCATGATACTGTACAGGAGGCAGCAATCAGCACCATCCCAAAGAAAAATACAAGAATGGAAAGTGGCTGTTTGATGAGGCTTTACAAATAGCAGAGGAAAGAAGAAAAGTGGAAGACAAAGGTGAAAAGGAAAGATTTACCCAACTGAATGCAGATTTCCAGAGAACAGCAAGAAGAGATATGGAGACCTTCCTGAATGAACAATGCAAAGTAACAGAGGAAAACAATAGAATGGGAAGGACTAGAGCTCTCTTCAAGAAAACTGGAGAAATCAAGGGAACGTTCCGTGCAAACCTGGCCATGATAAAGGACAAAAACGGCAGGGACTTAACAGAGGCAGAAGAGATCAGGAAGAGATGGCAAGAATACACAGAAGAACTATACAAGAGGGACTTCAATGTCCTTAACAACCATGACGGTGTGATCAATGACCTCGAGCCAGACATCCTGGAGTGCAAAGTCAAATGGGCCTTAGAAAGCATTACTAACAACAAAGCTAGCAGAGGTGATGGCATCCCAGTTGAGCTATTCAAAGTCTTAAAAGATGATGCTGTTAGTGCTGCACACAATATGCCAGCAAATTTGGAAAACGCAACAGTGGCCACAAGATTGGAAAAGATCAGTTTACATTCCAATCCCAAATAACAGCAATGCCAAAGAATGTTCAAACTATTTCACAATTGCACTCATTTCACACGCTAGCAAGGTCACGCTCAAGATCCTACAAGCTAGGTTTCAGCAGTACGTGGACAGAGAACTGCTAGAAGTACAAGCTGGGTTGCGAAGAGGTAGAGGAACAAGAGATCAGATTGCCAACATTTGCTGGATTATGGAGAAAGCAAGGGAGTACCAGAAAAACATCTACTTCTGCTTCATTGACTACGCTAAAGCCTTTGATTATGTGGGCCACAACAAACTATGGCAAGTCCTAAAAGAGATGGGAGTACCAGACCACCTCACATGTCTCCTGAGAAACCTGTATAAGGGTCAAGAAGCGACAGTTAGAACCGGATATGGAACAACTGATTGGTTTAGCATAGGGAAAGGAGTACGACAAGAATGTATATCATCATGCGAAATGCCGGCCTGGATGAACCACAAGCCGGAATTAAGATTGTTGGGAAAAACATCAACAATCTCAGATATGCAAACGATACCACTCTCATGGCAGAAAGTGAAGAGGACCTAAAGAGCCTCTTGCCTAAAGTAAAAGAGGAGAGCGCAAAAGTGGGCTTGAAATTCAACATCAAAAAAATTAAGATCATGGTATCCGGCTCCATCGCTCCTTGGCAAATAGAAGGGGAAGTCATGGAAGCAGTAACAGACTTCACGTTCCTGGGATCCAAGATCACTGCAGATGGTGACTGCAGCCATGAAATTAAAAGATGCCTGCTCCTTGGGAGGAAAGTGATGGCAAACCTAGACAGCATAATAAAAAGTATAGACATCACCTTGCCAACAAAAGTCCACATAGTCAAAGCAATGGTATTCCCAGTAGTACTGTATGGCTGCAAGAGTTGGACCATAAGGAAGGCCGAGCGTCGAAGAATAGATTCTTTTGAATTATGGTGCTGGAGAAAACTCTTGGGAGTCCCTTGGACTGCAAGATCAAATCAGTTAATCCTAAAAGAAATCAACCTTGACTGTTCCCTGGAAGGCCAGATACTGAAGCTGAAGCTCAAATAGTTTGGCCACCAAATGAGAAGGGAGCACTCACTGGAGAAGACCCTGATGCTGGGAAAGGTTAGGGCTCTTTAGCTTGGAGAAACAACAATTGAGGGGTGACGTGACAAAGGTTTACAAAATTATGCATGGGATAGAGAAGGTAGAGAAAGAAGTACTTTTCTCCCTTTCTCACAGTACAAGAACTTGTGGGCACCCAATGAATTGATGAGCAGTAGGTTTAGAACAGATTAAAGGAAGTACTTCTTTACCCAAAGAATAATTAACACGTGGAATTCACTGCCACAGGAAGTGGTGGCGGCTACAAGCATAGACAGGCTCAAGAGGGGATTGAAGAAACATATGGAACAGAGGTCCATTTGTGGCTATTAGCCAAAAGGTATAGATGGAACACTATGTCTGCCGCAAGTGATGCTCTGTATTCTTGGTGCTTGGTGGGGGGGGGGGCACAGTGGGAGGGCTTCTGAAGTTCTGGCCCCACTGGTGGACCTCCTGATGATACCTGTGTTTTGGCCACTGTGTGACACAAAGTGGATGGGCCATTGACCTGATCCAGCACGGTTTCTCTCATGTTGTTTTTATATGTAGACCAAATGAAAGTTCAGTAAAGGAAAAGCCATCACAACGCAATTAATAAAGTGAGCATGCTGTGTGTGCAAAGTGGATGAGGACAGGAATGGCCCCATACAAGTCAGTGAATCTCAAGTAACTCAAGAAAATCTTGCATTCTGAGAGGATCCCCAGCTCCAAAGGGCTAATTATGCATGCTGCCCTCATGCTACCACTTAACATTGGCAGAACACAGCAGTATGTGCATGCAAACGCTCAGTTATTAGGTCTGAGGAGAGCTTCTGTTTGGCCTGGAACTTAACAGTGGTGGGTGGGGTAAGGAACAAAAATGAACTCATTCGTCTTCACGTTCCTGCTGCCTTCAGCCTACCTCATGCCCAGGCTCTACAGTGGATTCAGAACAGGAGAAACACAAGCAACAACCTCCCCCAATAGAAAGGACATGAACATCTTGAGCTTGCTGCAGGTGTCCTCAAACACCAGGCAGGGACGTCCTTTTTTCTGGACTGAAGGCACAGGGGAACAGGATTGTGCACATACTCTATTTAGGCCCCTGAGGCCAACTGCCACTATGGCCCCTGTGCTTCAGCTGAGAAGAGCCCTGCATGAATTGTGGGAGGTCTCTCTAGTCTGGGATCCAAATTGGGATTATCGAAGAAGGTATCTCAGTGAACAGTAGCTTGAACCAGGTGCTTTCTGACCCTCTTTCCCACATCTCAGAATCTTTGAATCTGTGGATAGGTTTTTTCCTTCAGACTTTAAAGGAAGGGGGATAGAGTAACTGGCTTAAAAGGCAACCAGCCTCTAAGGCTAATTGCACACAACCTTTAATTGTAAATAGTCAAGTCATTTCTTTCCATATAAAACATGCCATTACAGTCACAACATAAGCAGCATAGCATAAAAATAAACATGTTTAAGGTCATCTATATCGTGTGAAGCCCAGATTTAAAAGACATACTACTTGATTTTCAGCTGTGCCCTCTCAAGATCAGTTGTTTGTTCTCATTTCTATTTGGACAGCCATAGCTGTTTCATCATAAAATTAAATGCAAAATACCCTTCAGTTTGGATACTAAGTGAAATTAGGTCATCAGCTTCTTTTTCATCAAACTCAGCAGAGGTAGGAGGAAATTAGCAAATGGTCTGAATGGAAATCTGCCCTTCAACCTACTTCAGTTAGAAAGGTGGAATAAAATGTTTTAAATAAAGAAACAAAAATAAAGCCTCAGGCCCACCAAATAACCAGAGTGCAAATGTTAATCTGCAGCAGAATTTTACGATGCAATCTAACTAAGTATACTCAAAAGTAAATTCCATTGAGATCAATGGTACTTACTCCCTAGTAAGTGTGCTTAGAATTGCAACCTTACAGTGCAATCCTAAAAACACTTTCCTGGGAATAAGCCCCACTGAACAGACATGAGCAGGAATCTGAGTAGACATGTTTAGGGCTGGTCTCTTAATATATTAACTCACATGAAGCTAACAGTCCTAACTACTGGTGTAAAATAAACTGTCCATAGACTTCCCCTAAAAAACCTTTGTGCAAAATTAAATGTCAATATTTCTACTAGTCTTTAGAGTGAACAATGATGTCCAAACATTCAGTGCTATATAGATTATGAAGTTGTGGTTCTGCTTACCTTTAATGAAAATGAGCCAGCTAGGATAAAGTGATCCAGGTCAATCACAGAGGAGAGGAAACCAGCAAAAATTACTTCCAAAAAGTCGCTTTTCTTCTTGAGTCCAATCACTATTGCCCAAGACCACAAACCCACAACACCATGCACAGTGTTATCAGAGAGTGCCCGCAACCAGTCATTTTGCTGAATGAAAGAAAACTGCAGAAATCTATCTGCTGCAAAACAGAAAATCCCCAATCCTAGGCTTGAAACAACAGAAGCCGTGCTGAATGACTGGAGAAGAGCATGGGCCTTTTCAGTCTCAGATGCCATAGCAAGCAACATGTCTCTATACACAAAATGCCTTCAGGATACATATGGCCCATCGTCTGTTAAATCTTCAGTCATTCTGTAATCAGCATAGAGAAAACTTAATGACAGCGTTTATCAGCACGGAAAATCCCTCTTTAAAAGAGCAAAGTGATGACGGTTCTTCCCCCCCCCCCCCAATAAATAAGAACACTCTGTAAAAAGCAAAATCTGTATATGTATAAAGAGAAATATCACACTGTAGCTCTTGCTGTTCCAAGGACAATAAGATCAGCACATGAAGTTATCAAAACAATCTGGTTTTGCAATATTACCAGCAGAGAACAACATACTACATTAACATAATACAAATGTGAGGCACATTTAATCTTGGTTGTTAATTAGCAAGTAACCTCTAAATCAATTTATTTTTCTTCAGTGGCCACATCGCACCAAACAAAACAGGGGGAAACAGTCAAAAACTGTATTCGGAGCTACAGTGCAGTCCAAAACACTGCGTCTGAAAATGGATGCTTGAAAGTATTTGAACATTGGTTGGCGATGTGGATAAATTCCATTATCAAAGCTCTGGAGTGAAGAAACTTTTGGCCCAAAGGGCCTTCATATCATCTCAGCTGAACTGGAAGGCTATTGGTAGCAGCAGTTTTTTAAATAAAACTGAGCTGGAGAATATGGGGGCAGCTAAAACATTGTATTCTCAGTAGACAAAATGCTGAAGTCGGAATAAGGGGAGCAGCAAGTGAAGAAATGGAGTTGCTGGGGGCGGGGGCACTGGTATACGAATTTGGGGTTATGCTGTATAGAGACTGAGGGGAGAAGGAGTTATAGCTTTGCTGTTTCATAAACCTTGCTAGCAAAAGCAATAAGAAAGAGACATTTTGGGACTATGCAGGGATGCATGACTACAGGTGACTGAAGCTGAAGGGGTATGCTAGATTTTTGCCAATGTAAAATGGCAAAACCCAGAGAACAAGGTTTGCCAGCCTCCAGTGGGGCCTGGAGATCTGGGATTACAAACTGATCTACAGATCAGTTCTGCTGAAGTGCTGCCCCCCCCCCCATCATAAGAACATAGGAAGAGCCCTGCTGGATCAGACCAATAATCCATCTAGTCCAGCATCCTGTCTCACACAATGACCAACCAGTTCCTCTGGAGGGCAACAACAGGGTATAACGGCCAAGGTCTTCCCCTGGCATTGCCTCCTGGCTCTGGGATTCAGAGGATTAGTGCTTCTGAACATGGAGGTTCTCCTCAGTCACCATGGCTAGTAGCCATTGATATACTTATCCTCTATGAATCTATCTAATCCCCCCCCCCCTTTTAAAGCTGTCTCTCTGTGTGGCCATCACTACATTCTCTGGCAGCGAATTCCACTTTTTAATCACTCTCCCAGATCTCCAGAGCTGACAACCCTGTCAGAGAAACCTGTCTGGGCTGTACTGGACAAGAAGACCCATACCTCAGTAGTCAAAACCTTGGAAAGCTATGTCTAGTTGGAAGAGAGACTGCTGGCTAGAATAGCCGAAAGCCAATTTTGCCTACTTTTATGAGTTGGGGCCTCAATACTATCCATCTTGCACATTAAGGCACCACCCAAGATTGTGGTTTCTAGAAGCATGAAAGTTTTTGATCACTTCCTTGATCCCAGCATGATGAGATTTTACCAAGTTGCTTAGGGACCATTCACACATTACACAGCAAGGAGGCCTGTCACCAAGCCTCCAGGGGGTGAAAAGAAAAGCAGGAGTCTTGTTCTGAGGCTTTAAAGCTCTCAGTTTCCCCAAATCTTATCAATGAAAGCTGACGTTCTGAGTCCACTAAAGCTTATGCGGAGTCTTAAAAGTCGGTCGGGTCTTCAAGGTACCACCAGACTGTCGTTCATTTTTGCTGCAACAGAGGCAACTCTACTGGCATTATTTCCACTGCTTAAACGACGCGTCCCTGCTGCTAATAAAGGATGGGGGGGGGGGAGAGAGCTTCCCCTGTTGAATTCCTGCCTATCAGATCTCTGCTTTAAAACACCAGAATTCAGCAGCAGGAGGAAAATGGTCTCCGCAGGCGGCAGGAGGAGGAGGGAGGCAGAAAGGAACCGGGCAGGCAATGACTGACCTCTCGCGCCTTCCCCACCTCACCTTGCCGCCCGCATCTGACTCCCGCCGCCATACCCAGCCTCTCTCCCACTGCTCCTGTCCCCCCATCCCAACAGCCAGAGCCACAGTTCGCCCCTCTCCAGCACTCCCCGACCCAAATCGCCTCAGACTCCCCCTCTAGCGCCAGGGCCACCCCTCAGCCCCCTTCCCCCCGCCGCCGCCTCCTCCACGCCCATTCGGGTCTGGGCGCAGCATCCTTCCCCTCCCCCGCCAGGCTCTCCCCAACGGCCCCTCTCACCTCTGGAACGGCGCCCGAGGCTGAGAAAGCGCTCGCGCTACAGCCCCCACCCACCGGCGCGCGCAAACCATTCTGGTTTCTTTCCCTTTTTTTCTAACCACCGCCTCTCGCGCGGGGCGCTCGCCTCAGCTCCCTAGTGGCGGCAGGGCTTCCTGCAGCGGCTGCAGCAGCCTCGTTTGAAATTATAAACGAGCCTTGTTACCTGCGTGTATGATTTACGGCAGCGTGACGTGGGTGAAATGCAAGACGTGACACCCGCTCCTTAAAAAAAAAAAAAAAAACCACACCCCTACAGTAGCTTCTCCATCTATGAAGGGGCGTCAACCCTCCACAAGAGGGGATTCAAAACTAATTTTGAAGAGGGGGCTGGTGGAGCGCTCGTCATCGGAATATAGGAGGCTATGCTAGCAATAGAAGGCTTTGGCTAATTTCCGGTTAAAGGTTCCCTTGCTCGAAAGCCAGTCGAGCCCGACTCTAGGGTTGCGGTGCTCATTTCCGTTTCAAAGCCGAAGAGCCAGCGCTGTCTGAAGACGTTTCCGTGGTCATGTGGCCAGCATGACTAAACACCAAGGCGGACGGCACGCTGTTACCTTCCCACCGAAGTGGTACCTATTTATCTACTTGCAATGTCTTGCTTTCGAACTGCTAGGTTGGCAGGAGCTGGGACCAGAGATGGGAGCTCACTCCGTCACTCGGGTCTCGAACTGCTGAACTACCGACCTTCCACAGCCTGCAGCTCAGCGTCTTACCCACTTGAGCCACCGCAGCTCCAATTTCCGGTTACATTTTGTTAATTTCTGAACTGGTGCCCCACAAATAAGATTTTATCAACAACCGCAGAACTGCTTTTGGAATGATTGTCACTTGCGTGGTATTTATATGTAGTAGGAAGAAAATGTTTGGTAACATTAATACTGGTTTCACTGAAGAGGTTTAACAAAACAAGTGAATCTATACCCGGGATCCTCCTGTGATTCTTCTTCCAATACTCCATTCTGTGATCGTGTTGACTCATCTTGTAATTACCCCTTGATAAATTGTACTTACCTTTATAATTGACTACATAGGCTTTAGTAGAATTGTAGAGTTATATGTCTTTACATTGTATATTCTTACACAACAGATATAAAAATAATCATACACTATTTTAATTTCTGATTTATTTAGCATCTTATTACAGTGTTTTCTGCTTTACTGGAACCTCCAGGCTGGAGATCTCTTGGGATTACAACTGATCTCCAGGCAACAGCATTTCCCCTGGAGAAAATGGCCACTTTGGAAGTTGGACTCTCTTGTATTATACCTCATTGAACCCCCTCCCCAAACCCTGCCCTCATTAGGCTCCACCCCCAAAGTCTCCAGGTATTTCCCAACCTGGAGCTGGCAACCCTATGAAATTCTGCGCTGTGGAACTTAATGCAGTTCTGCAGGGCCTATAAGACAGAGATGTTCTGCCAGGTGTTTGGTGGAGGACAGCGATGGTTTCCCTATGTTTGGCACTCCCATTTACTTGCCTCCCCTCCCCCAGCAAGGCAGTGATACAGTTTGAAGTTTTGCAGCATCAAGTTATGCCAATTACTGTGTTTTATTGTTTTAACTGTGAATTAATGTGTGAAGGTATTTTACTGTCATACACCACCCTGAGCCCTGTTCCACAGGGAAGGGCAGTTTAGAAATTTAATTAATAAATAATATTGATGGAACAGAATCTGAGCACAGTAGCTCCTTAACAACCAGCAAAATTTTCCAGGGTGTGGGCTTTTTTTGGAGTCAAACCTCTTTTAAGAGTCAAAGCTCCCTTTCTCAGTTTTGTATCTGATGAAGGTAGCTTTGACCCTCGAAAGCCTATATCCTGGAAATCTTGTTGGACTTTAAGGTGCTACTGGACATGAAGTAGGAATAAAGACCCATTCAGCCTTTATAGCCAGGCCAGAAATTGGGAAGAGTGTTAACAGAGACTCCAGTAGGCCCTTCTTCATTCCTATTCGTATCTGATAGCAAGCTTTGATTTGCAAAAACGTATACCCTGAAAAATTTTGATCTTTAAGGTACTACTGGGCTCAGATTTTGTGCTACTACTACAGGCTAATGCTGCTATCCACCTGAATTTAATTCTAAATGGGTAGCTCTCTGTTACAGTACAACCCCAAACTGAATTACACCCTTCGAAGTGTAGTGAAATTAATGGAGTAAGAAGGGTGTGACTCTTGCATAGAACTGCTCTATTAATCTGGTGCAGCAAAATCAAACAAATTCAGTGGCACCTTAAAAGATAATGAAATATTTCAGCATGAGCTTCCCAGAGCTCACTTCATCAGATGCTCAACAAGTACATCTACAGGAGATAAATGAAGTGTCAATATATGGATATGCACACTATGCATCCGATGTTGTCCCAAAACCTATGCTGAAATAAAATTTCTACTGCTGGACTTCTGGGAATTTCCTTAATGCACCATTATAGGGAAAGAATGGTGAGATTTTCTTCCCTTTCAAAAAACACTGGACCAAACTAGGCAGTTGTAGAGGATGGTTCATTACTTAGCACATTAACAAATAGGGAGTCTCCTAGAGCATTTGCTTTGCAAGCAAAAGGACCCAGGTTCAATCTCTG